TTCTTTCTTTCTTTCTTTCTTTCTTTCTTTCTTTCTTTCTTTCTTTCTTTCTTTTTCTTTCTTTCTTCCCTTCCTTCCCTTCTTTCTTTCCTCTTCTCTTTTGCTGAAGCTATAGGTATTTTTTTGTACTGAATTTCCCACCATCTCCCAATGTAAATCAACCATATAGTCTATCTGTAGCAGTGGAAATGTCCAGGCATGGAACTACAGCTACAAACCTTTGCCGGAGAAAGAATACTGGCAGTATATACTATCTGCATGTTTATTTAAAAAAAAAAAATCCTGCTCCTGCAGAATGGAGTTACGTCTAGGCTAGGATACTGTACACCACAGCTGGATTTCTGCTTTAGTTCCCCAGGTCATTGCAGTTTGTTTACCTGTCCTTTGTCAGGCTGACTGCAGTAATCCAAGTTGAACTTTAAAGGGAAAAAAAATCACCCAGACCTCCTCCGAAAGCATTTGGCAGGATTGGGAAAACCAGATCTGCCTTTATAGTACATTTCAGTCTGAAGCTGAGAAAGAAGAGATTTAGACAGCATCAAAAACACACACTTACTGAAATACCTTCACTTTGGGCAGCTTCCCCCCCCCCCCGCCCCCGTTCTCTGACTTGATGAGAACGGAAGAGAGAGAGAGAGAAAAGGAAAAGAGAAGGCATATATTATACAGTATATGCACAAGAAGCCTTCCTCACATTGAGGGTTGTGGGTGGGGAAATGGGACGGGCGGGTGGGGAAGCCGGCTGGGAAGGGGAGGGGGCTCTTTGCTCCACCTAGCGGCAACCTCGAGGGTATGCAGGATGCGGCAAAGGCCTTTGCATAAATTATGTTCATGACGCAGCAGCTAAAAAATCCCGAGTATCAAAATCTGCCCCTGCCTTCCAGTTCCCCCCCCCACCCCCAGGCGGGGCAAGAGCTTCGCTGGCTATACCTGGAAGATGGGGAAGGGGCATCCCTTGACGCAAGCCCTCGGGGGCTGCGGTTCCAGCAGGACTTAAGGCCGGCTGGGCCTGGGAAGGGGGTGGAGAGCGGTGCCACCACCACCACCCCCGTTTTGTGTGTGTGTGTGTATGCAACAATCTTCGCACCAGCTGCTGTGAGATGAATTTTTAATCATTCCCAGGGAAAAGAGAAAAAAAAAAGTGTGGGGAGGGGGGGGGAAAGATCGGCTCGGCGGAGCCCCAGCCCTGGCTGGGGCGGGGGGCGCAAAGCGTTCTCTCCCGGCTGTGCAGCGGTGAGTGGGGGTGCGGCGGGCCGGTATGGCGTGGATCGGGGGGCGGGGGGGACCCGGTTCGGTGAATATGCAATGGTCTTAATTAGCATAATTTATATATTTATGATAAAGAGAGAGGAGAAAACAGGGAACGGGGCGCAAGGGAAGGGGGAAGAGCGGGGTTGGGACAGCGTTGCATGTGGTCTGTGGACATGTATTTTTGGGGAGGGGGCTCACCTAAAATAATGGAGGGGCTTAAGCCTGGGGGGAGGGGAGCCCGATCGATTGAATGGGAAATTTAGGACACGGCCGGCAAGTTGGTGTTCAAACAGAAGTGGGGCTTGTGGGGTGGGGGAGTCTTCCCATCCCAAATAAATTGGGGTGGGGTGGGGTGGGGGTTGAGATCGAGCTTTGGAGGACGAATCCGTTGCTTGGATATCGGAGCCTGGCGGGACCCCGACCAGGACAGGCTGCTTAAGAGAGGGGAGGTGGCGGAGGAAGTATTGGGAATCAGGCTAGTGGAGAAATCAGGGGAAAGGGACAAGGTTAGTCCCCGGGAATGGCAATGAGCTGCAAGGAGAAGCTGGAGGAAGGACGGGGTGTGTGTGTGTGTGTGTGGCATGGAAAAGCCGGTGTTTGGGGGTTTTCAGAAAACGGAACTGTCGGGAAATGGGACTCGGAGAAACAACCCACCGCGGGGTATAGCTCGTTTTGGGGCGAATGTTGCGGGGGGGGGGGGGGTCGGTTGAGGGGAGAGCCTGAATCGCGCTCCCTGTTAGGATCTGGGTTGAGAAAACCACTTGAGGGAAGATCATTTTAGGCCATCCAGAGGAAGGCTGAGGCGCGGGATGAAGGACTAGCAGCCTGGAGGGCGCGTCTTTCCGGCTCCCCTCGGCAGTTGGGAGAGTTGAGCATTGGGGACGACGCCGGGTGGGCAGGAGGCGGTGGCGGGCGGGGACTTGACCTGGGCAAAGGCTGCGGGCGGGGTAAAGGAGGTGCGAAACTCGGGTTTCTCCAGCCCGAAAGGGTGCACTGACGTTGAGGCAGGTGAAAAAGAAGGAAACTTCCCCCCCAAGCAAGAAGGGAGACCGGAGCTGGTTTGAGGATGGGGCGGAGGAGCGGACGGGCAAGCGAACAGAAAGGAGAAATTCAGGGAGTTGGCGAATGCTCGGAGCGAACTGCGCGGGAAAAGAAGAAACTCGTTGGAGCCCGAGCGCAGCCATAGAGCTTCTGTTCGGTGCCAGAGCTCGGCCCTAAATACATTAATAATGAGAAAATTCGAGAAAAGGCGAAACGCTGCCAGCAAAACCGAGACCGGCTGTGCCGCGCGTGTAAAGGCAAAGGCGACCCCATTTATTGTGGCTCGCATCTTTAAAACCCGACGCAAGTGATCTTCTGTGCGCCCTTGGAGGTTATTCTGCAGACTGATTGGTGGTTATTACGGGGTATATATAAACAAGAGTTGGAAAAGCAATGGTGTCGCCCTGCTTCTAGTTTAGGAAAAAGTCTGAGCGCTTTCCTTCGAGCTATTTATAGATTTTGAATCCGAGCTCCAATTGTTTTATTAGCTGTACAGAGCAATCTTGGCATCTGTCTACTCAGGAAGCCCCATCAACTGCAATGGGGGGCTTAGCTATGCGATTGTAGCCTTCAAAGCATCAGAGCGGCGGGAGTGTGTGTGTGTGTGTAGGGGGGATTGAAAAGTGACATCTGGTGATGTTTTTTCAATTGCAGCACTGGGGCAAAAAGAAAGGGTAACTGCTTCATATTTTATTCCCTTTTTCTCTCCAGTCTGTTGCTAATACAGGAAGTAGTAGCTTTTATCAGATGGTATACATTTGGAGCAAAGGATCAGATATGTCTGCTCCCATATTTAGCCCAGGAATGGCCTAAAAATCCTTGAAAATCATAGATCTTTCATTCAGTCACATTATGGTTAGCCTTGAAAACATTGCTTAAATCCTGTGAAATCTGAAATTAAGGAATGAGGGGTTAGGGTTAGGGTTAGGCCAAAGGACACAAAATTCCAGAACAGTCCCTCCCTGCTTCCTCTTCATTTTACAGACTTAGCAACAAATTAAAGACCCTGCTGCTAAATGTGATGGTAAAGCCATATGAACCACATTGCTTCTATCCATACTATCCTGAACAGCTTCATTCTAAAAATTGTGTTGCATAGAAATCCAGATATGGAGGGAAACCTCCAATAACCTTTACTCTGAAATGCTGGTTTTGTATGTATTTACAATAACGTGAGTACCTGCCTATAATCTCAAGAAGAACAAGGAAGACACTATCCTCTTAGTAAGAACTAGAGTAGACCAGAGGATTATAAAAAAGAATGTCCTTGAAAAGGCTTTGTTGAATAAGCATGGATTTAACGTGTATACATTTTGATCGGTACCTCTGCTATCTAAAACATTATGCATAAAAAACGCTGTAAAATAAGATCAGGTAATACAGGGGCATTTCTTATATAGAGGTGTCCTATATAAGAAATTTGGATGAATCATTTGAGTTATTGTTGATGATGACAGTTTGTCTTCACCCATGAACTATTTTTATTTTATTTTTTATTTGTCAATTGCTTACAAGATAATAGGTATAAGTAAAAACATAGTTATGAATACCTGGATACATATATGAAAAAAAAGAAAAGAAACAATAGGACAGGCACGTTGGTGCGCTTATGCACTCCCCCTACAGACCTCTTAGGAAAGGGGTGAGGTAGACAGTCTAAGGTTAAAGTTTTTGGGGTTTGGGGAAGAAACCACAGAGTCAGGTAGAGTATTCCAGACATTGACCACTCTGTTGCTGAAGTCATATTTCCTGCAATCAAGTTTGGTGCAATTAACCTTGAGTTTGTATCTATTGTTTGCTCTTGTGTTGTTAGAGTTGAAGCTGAAGTATTCATTGACAGGTAGGACATTGCAATGATTTTATATACTATACTTAGATCGGACCGAAGGCGGCATAGCTCTAGGTTTTCTAGGTCTAGAATTTCGAGTCTGGTGGCATAAGGTATTCTGCAACGAGTAGAGGAGTGGAGAACTCTTCTTGTGAAATATTTCTAGACTTTCTCAACTGTGTTAATATCAGATACGTAATGTGGGTTCCAGACTGATGAGCTGTATTCGAGTATTGATCTAGCAAATGTTTTGTATGCTCTAGTTATTAGTGTAATATCACCAGAGAAAAAGCTACGTAATATTAGGTTAACAACTCTTAACGCCTTTTTGGCTATGAAGTTACAGTGGGCTCTATCACTTAGGTCATTTGAGATGAGTACTCTAAGATCCTTGACAGAGTTTGGATCATCAACAAGGTCTTTACTATTCAGCCTGTATTTTATTTTCTGATTTTTTTGCCAATATGTAGGACAGAGCATTTATTTGTTGAGATTTGAAGTTGCCATTTGTTTGACCATTCTGATACATAGTCAAGGTCTTTTTGAAGGGTAGCAGTATTGTCTGTGGTGTTGAATAGCTTTACATCATCAGCGAAGAGAACGCAGTTGCTCTTGATATGATCACAGAGGTCATTTAGAGTATGAAAAGAGTTGGTCCTAGAACACTGCCTTGGGGACACCACTGTTGACAGGTACAGAATTTGATAGGACGCTCCCAATTTTGACCATTTGTTGTCTGTTTGACAGGAATGCTTCTATCCAGTTATGCAGGTGTCCAGAGATACCATAAGATTTTATTTTTAGGAGTAGTTTGTCGTGTACCACTGAATCAAAGGCTTTACAGAAGTCTATGTAGATTGCGTCTATTGCTTTGCCCTGATCGAGTTGTGTAGTCCATATGTTTTTGCAATGTAAGAGTTGCAGATTACATGATAGTTTTTTCCTAAAACCAAATTGTTTATTAGAGAGTAGGTTGTTTGTTTCTAAGTGAAGGATGATGGATTGGTTAATAATTGATTCCATGACTTTACAGGTGACGCAGCATAAAGAGATTGGTCTGTAATTTTCAACTAGGCTGGGGTCTCCCTTTTTGAAGATGGGGATGACCGTGGCTTGTGACCATAGTTTTGGCAAGGAGCTGGTCCTGAAAGATTTTTCAAAGATTATGCTTAGACGTTTGGCTATGGCAGTGGGTAGCTTTTTTAAGAAGTAGGCACATATTCTGTCCAGTCCAATAGATAGAGATGGTTTTAGATTGTGTAGTGCTTTTTCAACTTTGTCCTCTGTAAAATCGATATGTATTAGATCATTGTAGTTGTCTATGGTTCGACTAGGAAATACTGGGCATGATCCATTGCTGTTTACAAATACTGAGCCAAAGAATGTGTTAAAGAGGTTGGCTTTAATGGTGTCATCATTGCAGTCTTTACCATTAGGTCCTTTCAGGGGTGGGATGGACCTTGAGTCTTTTAGTTTGTTCTTTACAAAATTGTAGAAAGCGCGGGTGGAATTGGTGCGTAGAAGGTTTTCTTGTTTAATGTGATAATTGGTGCATTCAGTTTTTATTTGGTGGCATAAATTTTTGTATCAGCTTTTGAAGTTGGCAACATGACCAGATTTGTTTTTCTGCCAAAGTGATCTCTTTTTGGATTGAAGCTTCCTTATTCATAACAAATATATTGAATCAAAATCTTTATTTTGGTCATAGACCAACATGGCAACAAAATGTGATAGTTAGAACTAATCATTTTCAAATTTTATGTGATAAGTGTTCTAAAAATAATCCTGTTGATCAGGAAATGAAGAGATGTGGCAGCATTGCTTTAGTGCCTGCTGAATTACTCTGTCCACAGTCCTTTTGGTGGGCTTTGAGTGGCAGTATTTGTGCAATAGATGTTCACACATGCTCAGGTAGCTGGTAAAAGACAGTACATTTCTGGTCTCCTAGAGACTCCAGAATGAAGTGTCGATGTAATATTATAAGGAGTAGGTATATATATAAATGCTATTGTGTAAGGCGGGGTTTCAACCCCTGTTGGGAACTGGGCTACACAAGCGGCGAGCGATTAGGCAAAACTCCATTTGCACAAGCAGTCGGCAAGCCCACACGCAC